GTTGGGCATGGCTAGCTGCTGACGGCTAACAAGCCGGAAATGACTATTCCAGTGCCACTGGTTTTTTGGTTAGTGTTAGAATTTAAACATTCCTTTATAGATACCTTAGTAGCCACAAGCTGTTCAAACGCTATGGTTAACTGCTAGCCTCAAGTGCCACCAATTTTTCAGTTCTGCTGTCGACCAATGAAAAGGCCTACTTCAGTGCATTCGGGTAGCCGAATTAAACGCACGAAACTCATGTGCTCGATAAAGAAGTATCCACAGAGACTAGGGCATATTAATAAGTCAGTTCTTGCCTAGATAATTTTAATAGCCAGTCAGGCAACCTAGTTCGAACCCCAAACTCGCAGGAACGGTTCCCCGCGGGCATGGGGTCCTCCTGACGCAACCAGGAATAGTAAACTTAAACCTGAAAATCTGCAGTCTACCTCGAGTGTAGGACTATTTATTTGTACACTGAAGTTCCAGGCAAGCTCCCTCCCTCTCTGCCACAGACATGTGCATAACAGCGAGCAGGCAACTAAAGATATGGTTCAGTTGCCTTCTTCGGTAACTGGCCTGGTTACTGACTGAGCTTCGTTACTCGGCTGCCTGCAGAGGCTTCACGTTTAAGCTATAAGTTGGGAAGGAACTCCAAAAATTATTTCTTATTTATGGATAGATAGGTTGACGTCCTCTTACCTATGTAACTCGTATAGATTTGCAACATGAAGTAGGAGACGGTCCAAACGTAAATGAAGTGCTGTGCGAAACACGAAACATCTCAAAATTGCATAAATATGTAGGTATTTTGGAAGATGGGGGGTTTCAAAAGGGTAAGCACAAATGAAGACTGCAAAACAATACGAACGATGATGTATATTGTGTGCCCTACATCAAGATGGGCGCAAACGCGGTTATCTGCATGTGAATTAGCTTGTGCTAAAGTCAAAGTTTTCCATAATAAGACACTAGGTTTAAGATATATATACGCAACTGCGTAATGAGTCAGGTGTTTGCTGCGAAAAATGACCTTGATTAAATCTTGAAAATACAAACAATCCATCTTGGAGACCCCCAACCGGCTATGCTATACATATGGCTAGGTCGGTGAATGTATAAATAGCTGTATCTGTTGGACTCTCTATCCGGTCCCTTGGTTGTTTAGGCACGTGGCTTTAAGCTTAATATGGAAGTATGATTGCAAATCAGGTGTTTTGGGCTCACATACTAGAACAAGAGTCTTATTTATCCGAGGATCGGAATCAATAGTTGCCTCTATCTACAGAGAAATGAAAAGGCGGAACCATACAGGAATGAACAGATTATAATGACTTATAGACTAAAATAGAGTTTCGCTTCGCCAACAAGCAACAAGGGATGCTCGAGCCTAATGCAAAAAATTGATTCAAGAAAGTGAAGAAGTATTTTACAAAAGTATTTCTGTTAAATTGGTCCCAGTTGAGAGAAAATAAAATTAGATCCCTTTTTTAATCAGACAATTTTTTTCAAATATTAAAATTTCTAACACGTGAAGCTGCATACAGAGAGATCGGGAGTTGCTCAAAAGGCTCTTTTTAAAATCTTAAATATAAACAAACGTAAGATTTAGTTTTGTGGGAGCAAGCTGTAAAATACCGGAGCGACTAAATTCCTTAAAGAAGAATGCAGTTTTAGAAAAAATTAACATAAATGGAAGCGAACCTGCCGATTGCGTGTGGACTAAAGTGCTCACCTTTTAACTTCGTTGGTTTTAGTGGTTTGAGCTATCCCATAACTTTGAAACGATTCTATTTCAATATAACATCCTTGAATATCAGTCATTACATTTGGTTCCTCATACGTCTGCTAATAGTGATGATCAATATCCATATCTTATTTAAAGAAATGCATAAACTCTAAATTTATATTTACAATAGTTTATTAAACACGGCATCATACGTAGATATGTGACCAATATGGGACGACAAAAAAGTTACTAGCTGTATTAATTAGCGCAATAATATGTTGATTAATGTTTAAGATCTCGGAAGATGTCTCCATATTTATGACGGAGGATATCCAAAAGTTTCAAGTGCTTTTCCTGAAGAGAGCTGCAATGGGGAATGGACAAATTTATTTAAATCTGTGGTGAGCCTGGAAATTTCTTTTTTTGTTTAGGCATATCTGAGGTGATTAAGTGGATACTACCACGCAATGCTCAAACACGGATACCCGAAAATGCGTTTGCCTGAAAGCCCAGGAGCAAGATCATTTGGAAAAGGTTTTAGTGCCTTTTCTGCGGCTACTAATCACGAGACGCAGAAATAAATTTTGGCATCAAGCCATTTGGTAAAGTGGACTTTGAGACTCTGCGAAGTGTAATCACAGACAGGGTACCGATTTGGAAGTTAATTAATTTTGAATGTTAATCCGATCACTTTGCGTCAGAATTCTAATCAGATCTATCCTAGCCGTGCATGCAAGAGTTAGGAAGCGAACTTGGATACAAGATGAGGGATGAGAACCCTAATCGAGGACATTTAAATGGAAATACATTTTAATTAGAGATTGAGTAGATAGCTTCCTTTGGTTCCAGTGTACATCAAGCGGAATGAGTGGGTTCCATTAGCAATCGGTGAAAGTTAACTAACGAGTGTCACTAGCCTCCAATCTAAACCAGCAAGACAGCGAACCCTTGGCTCAATGGGCAGAGCATTAGACTTCTGATGAAAAGGTCGCGGGTTCGAACACCACTTGGGGTTAGGTATGACTGGCTGATGACGATTAATCAGGCAGGACTAGCCATCCCAGTATCCCATGTCTTTGCATGGGACAACGCTATACGTTTTTACTGCTCTTTGTAACAAAATCTTCAGACGTTGACAAAAATAATTTTCAAAACTGAAATAATTTCTTGTTCGTATAAACTGGAAAACACGCGTAGCTTGTGATACCTTGTACTGCGGCCAGCCAGGAAAGTCCGTCTCTACACGAATTCACGAAAACAAACTGGCAGTGGAAAGACGTGACCATTTATCCGAAGTGACTATGCATACCCTTGATATAGGACACAGCTTCGTATGGGAAAAAACGCGTATCGTCGGAGTTTGCCCCTCCAAAAAAGGCCGAGAATTTCTTGAGGCCATGCATTTTGACGATTCATGTATCAACCGCTACATAGAGTTAGATGGTATCTATGAATACCTCAAAGAGCGGTGGAAACGACGAAAGCCGCACAACACAGACTGACAGAGGCTACGATCACTAACCAGGTCCCACACAATAAAACTATTATTTTTTCCGCACGTTTGACATTCTAGCTGTTACCTGCACATTTCTTGTTAGTATGAAGACGAGCTGGGGGAATAGACTCGAAAATTCATTGACTAAAGTTACCTTTATATCCTAAAGGACATATTTTTCTTCAGGTTGTTTCTTCTTTCTAAAAAAAAACAATTCGATTCCTTAAACTTGCCTTTACTTGATTTTCCTTAACCTAACACTAGATATTCCGGTTCTCGAAGGGATACATAGAAAAAGGTTTCAACTTTCCACTGCTGTTCTCCTATATCAAAATGCACAAAAACAAATAGTTTGGTTCTGTCATATTAAAAAGGAAAATAAATTTATTCGATATCCGGAAACCTCAGATTTCGCCAAAATCTGCCTCTTTAGCTTAAATATAGTAAACTAAAAATGCAGTTTTCCTAAATAACAAGCTTTCTGAGGATCACATCCACTAATCAAATCAAAATAAAGAGACCAAGTCGACGCGAAGTGACCAAATCCCGTTTCGATTCTGACTCCACTTATCATATCAAAATGAAGAGACCAAATTGACAGTAAATGACCAAATCCAATTTTGATTCTGACTTTGCATGAATTAAGTAACTTACTGTACCATCAGTAACCTTCCATGAGACTGTAAAAAATAATTTAGGTCGGCAATTATGAATAAAAGGAACAACAGAGAAGACCAGGAAGTTGATATTAAGGCAATATGCACAAGAAGGCAAACTTTTCGTGAGAATTCCGTGAAGGAAAAGAAGCTGATCCTGCCAAATTTGCATTGTTTACACAGAATACCGAGCGGGAATAGATTGCAATACGACTATACCTTAAACGTCTTTTCTTTGTTAGGTACCAGGTCTGATGAAGGTGGGCTCTGTCTTTGGCGCTAAACTATTCAACTGATCATGACGAAGCCACTGTTAAAGCCGAATTCCATTTCGTCTCACAATTATCTGCAAGTCTTTCTCAGGCCAGCTCAAAGCATACTGTCCGGAAACCATGGGCATAGATGTGGAAATAACTTACTTATTGTCATCATGCAAAACCCTTCCTTCGCCTATAGTAGATGTTGCACCAAAGAGTTCCGTGATCTTCATTTTCGTATCGAGCTGGTTTTCAACCGGCAGCAGGGCCTCCTCCAGCGTGTAGAAGAGGGTGGACTTGTTTGTTACGGCCCAGCGGGAAACCCAGAAAAACCGGCAGCTCGATCCGCGACCACGCAGTGCCCGGTCGGCCAAAACCTCGATGATGTCCTAAAAAGGGAAGGTATACTGGATTTCTTGGCATTCTTCAAGTCAGTCAAGAGTCTGCGGATAGCTGTATAGGCAAGGGCGCAATATGCAACTCAACTTAGACCACAAAGGATAGTTTAACCTTTAATACGCGCGATATAGCCCAGTATTTCGAACCCCACTAATAGGAAGAATAAAACAAGAGAGCGGTTCTAATAGGCCATGGCTGTATTCAACAG